GCGAACTTGGCAAGCACGAATTCGGCGGGTGAGAATGCGACGAAGACAACCTCCGTGGGACGTGTTGTGTACACGTTGTTGCTTCATGTGGTTTTTTGCACTGAGTTGAGTGTCATCCTTGCTTTGTGCAATGCAACAATGAATCAGGTAGCTCTTTCTCTTTCTACTGATCTTCAGTATAGGCCGCTGATTCAGCAGCACTATGTTCAGTAAAATGATGATTTCGATAAATCTGACATGAGCAGAAGAACCAGAAGAAGAGCTGACTTTTGTCCTTCACCACCCGGGATGCAACTAAGTTTTATTGGTTTGGGCTCTGCCTAGTGAGCACTCTGTATTGTTCGATGCGGCATCAGTTAGGATCGGTTTGTTGTCTATGTATAGGAGAATGGTGAGGTGTTTTCGTTGCAGGTGTTTGGAGTAGTGAGTTGGTTGTGTGTAAGGGAAGAGTTTGGTGTTTGCATCGCAGGTGTTTCAAGCATGACGAGAAGAACCAGAAGAATAAGACTGACGTCTGTCGTTCCGTCATCAACGGAATGCAGTTTCTTTATTGTTTGGAGTCTGTCATGGGAACACTGCACTTATTGCTTATTGCGGCGGCAATTAAGGAATAGTCGGTTGTCTGTGTATGGGAAGAAGGCTGAGGTGGTTCGATTGCAGGTGTCAGGAGCAGGAAGCACAATCAGTTGGCTATTTGTACCACGACGATAAGGTTGTTTCCATCGCAGGTGTTTTCGGCATGACCAGAAGAACCACAAGAAGACGAAGAGGTGACTTCTGTCCCTTTTTCCTTCATCGTCAGAATGCAGTTTCTTTTTCATTGTTTGGGGTCGTTCACGTGAGCACTGCTTATTGTTTGGCGCAGGGTCAGTTAAGGAGCGGTCAGTTGTTTGTTGTCTTGCGTTTCCATTGCAAGTGGACTTCCACATACAAGTATGCTAGAAGGAAACATGGGCATGCATTGCAGTCGTCATTAGAGAAAGGTTAAGTACTTCTCTCTCAGACTGCTGGCGAATGTTTGATGAGGTAGACGGGCTCTGCGTGTGGGTGGGATGTGTAATGTCTCTTCCCTTGCAATGAAGATCTAATTGTTGTTGGTGAGGAAAATT